GGGGGGGTAGTATATTTATCAAAATATCAAGATGTCATTCTTCAGGACATCCTCAGTACTAGCCGTTCATACGAGATTTTAAGTCGACGTGTAACGTTTAGAGTGATAAATATGTACGATAAGAGCCTACTTCATTAACCGTCAGTATCTAGCTTTTCTATCTGCTACTGTGTCTCTTTTCTGTGTGTCTGTTTTTCTGTAATTCTGTTTGTCTGTTAGTATGGTCAACTCTCTACTATATGTGTATAGTTAGCAACAGAAACGTGGGCGAGAATTTCACCCCACCCCTCCAAACTTAGCTATTCTCTCGGCAAAAGGGAGCAAAACAAAACAAAACAAAACAATACTACACAAACAAAAACAAAAACAAAAAAACAAACCGAAAACAAACAACAACAACACTAAAATACCACCAAAGAACAAACATCAACAGACAACAAAAGCTTTCCTATAAAAATTCACCCTATCTGCGTCAAATCTGTGATCCACCAAGACTCGTTTTGTTTCCGAAACAAAACAAAAAACAAGTTTAAAAACTAAACAATAAACAAACGAATTAATAAATGCACCACCGAGGAGACGCTATTATGGCGTCCATATTATTATTTTGAGATTTCATCCCATGAAATTCAATTCTTATATAGACCCTATCAAGCCCAATTTCCATGACAAAGACGTCTTATCAGATCCGTCATGTGCACTCTCGCTGCGTTGCACTGCACAGCCTTTCGCTGCATGCTGACTTTTAAAAAAACGGGAATTCTACACTTTTTTGCCCGCCATTGTTGTCAGGACAAGAACGACAACTTATTACGTTTATAATCTGAAAGCTGTTCCTTCTAAAGTGCGATGTATTAGCGTCTAAAGAGAAGATACGTCAAACAGTGGGGTTCGATATAAATATGATAGCAACAGGTCAGAAGAGAGAATTTCTCAGCCTTACACCACCACCACCCTCCCCCTTTCTTCATCGGGCGCCCTCTTTCCCAGCCACACCTCCGTTCTCCACCCAAACCTCTTTTCTCCACCCCACCACCTTTCTTTACCCCCTCCCCATCACTTTTTCCCATCCCCACCATCTTTTTTCACCCCACCCCCTTTCTTCCCCCATACCCTTCTTTCCACCCT